CATCTTCTCCTTAAAAGATATTTTCATCTCCTAAATGCTATTTAGCAAAGTACATTTCATTTCCAATGTGCTCGAAAATGATCCTACTTTGTCAGAATGCCAAGGTGCATCTCCAGTGTCTTCTTATTCTACCCCTATTATGCTTTGCCATACATAATACTAATTGAATACAGTACATGTTGGATTTGCAGTCATTAAAGCAGCAGTACAATTCAAATTTAAGTGAACTACTACATTAGGTGAAACACAGCAATTGGTTTCCCCAGGGACAAATGAAAAGAAAAAGAAAAAAAAAAATAAAAAAAAGAATCAACCCCCGAAACTGCCTGCAATGTCAATGATATTTATTGCCTTCCCTGGAATCAAGGTGGAATATCTTAAGGTACTCTTAAGGTGACCCCATCTTAGGCAATTCTTTGTGATCTGATACAAAATTCGACTTGTGCCACTAGTGTTAAATAGCATTTATTTGGAGGTGACTGTCATGGCTTTGGCAGCTAGCTCAGAACGCAAAATGCGACCTGCTGTCATTCCTTTGCAGTTTACAAAGACATGCCAAAGAATCTGTGTTCTGGCATGGATACCTTGGAAAAAAACTTTTATTGTACTTTTAACTGTGTTACTTTGAAGCAGAAGAAGCAAATCCTGCAAATGCTTAACACTGTGCAGATTAGAATAAGTGTTTACAGGATCTGCATTGGTGGGTTCTTTATTAGTCTCTATTTAATATTGTAAAACACAAGGTAGCTAATTCTATGTACACATGCAAGAGTCAACACCAGGCTGATTTTATCTAACTTCATAGACTGGTCAAACAGGCCAGTCACAGACGTAAACATTTTTTCACTCATAGCAAACTGTGCAACACAGTAGTTCTGTGTTGCTATGCTGGTGTCATCAGATATGAATAGAAAGTTTCCTCTTCTGTCCTATTCTTTGCACCAAATACCACTTCCACATAACCCTAAATTATGCTAATTCAGCTGTTTTCATGGGCACAGGCTACACTGGACCACCCAAATGTTTTTATTTGAAGAGAAGATAACCAGCCAAAGAGCTCCTTAAACTTGATCTGCCACTTGTGGACATACAGAACATCAAGATTGAAAGTTGATGGTGGCAGTGTTTGTTGTGATACATGAATACATGCTATGGATCAGGTGTGACTTTACCAGGGAGCATGGTAAGAAGGTTGTCAAATCTCATTACAGCCACGCATCATTATGAGCAATCATTGTCACATTAGAGAGGAAAGACTTGTAACATCCAATTTCATGCTCATTGCCTTCATTGTACACTTTGTCTTGGACATGCAAAATAATACTTAGTTTAAAAACAGAAAAATAAAAAAAAAAAAAGAAGGTTATATTAAGAGAGAACAAAGTTTCTCTGGAGGACAGCAATAACAAGTGATAGAAAGTTGTAAGGAAGTTGAAAACTAGTCAAAATTCCTTAACTCACAATAACTGGGTAGATATGGAGACAGAACATAATCTTGCCTCTTTCACACATTCAAAAAGAGTAATACTCCCATCTCCAGACACAAATTATATGTATTATTTTCTTGTCTCTATTCTTTTACACAATGAGTTAACAACACAAATGAGAAAGATGTTTTTTCCCTATTTATTCAGCATATAAAGAACATATTAACATCATATATTAACATCATGGGAATTTCCACTTTTTCAAAAAGGTAGTTACAGAAATAAAGATTTTCAAATTGTCATAATGCTATCCTGTGTTCCTAGAGATGAACTTCCTGATATCTAAGTATTTTTAGCCTGCAAAAGTAACTCTAAAGGAACTCAAATATCATGTGAGGTTAGTAGACTGAGTAGCCCAATGCAAAAGATGCTGTGCTTAGTTCATTTAGATTATTCAAGCTTACAGTCTTTACAAAGTAGGGTTAACTGAGATCATAAATTAAGGAACTTTCCAGCCACAAGAAGACAGGTGCCCTTAGAAGTCATTAAATGCTGAATCAGCTGTATTACTCAGTGAATGTATCCTTCATGACTCCCAAGGGACAATGGCTTAATCCCTTTCTTTTTTTTTTTTTGTAGGGGGGGTGGTGGGTGGTGTTCAAACTATGAGGTTAACAAGAACCATATCACAGATAATTTTTTTTAGCTGTACAGCTACTATAGGCCACCTAGAAAGGATAGTGCAGAGATGTTCATTGAAGACCACAGACATAGATACCCTTTTGCCCTCTTCCTTTCTACTGCTACTGCTTCGAGTTAAAAATGATGCTGTTTCAGGAAAGATTTTGTTCAGGATATCTTATTGTTCTTAAAAGAATATTTTTCTTTGCAAGACCCCATGCAGGTGACATAAGGTAGGAAAACCAAGGCCTGTTCTAACCAAAAGTGGAATCCCTCAGACAGGAGCTGCAGCACAAACTGTTTTGGGTTACCTTTGCAGCCAGCCCTCTGAGTAGAAGGTCAGACTCATCTTAGGACCTGGTCCAAGACATATGGCAAGAGTGAGATATGTTTACAGAATATGCCTCAACTTCCAAGAATATTATATGAAAAAGATCCACTTGTTATACTAGCACTGAAACAAAAAAATCCAAACATGCATGTTCAGCATACACCACTAGAAATGTAGAAGTTGAACATCTACTGTGTTATACAACAAAAATATAGCATGCTGTGATTAAGATTGTTCTGAGTTTCATGAACCTATAGACACATAGCTCTACCAGGACTAAAATCAGAAGTTGTTCTCATATCAGCTCAACATACAGTTTTAACCAACATATAAGGCCAGCTGTACCCTTCACGTGTTCCCGATCAACATGTTCTGTGAAATTCAGAGCAAGATAACAGACAGCAGCTTCAGCACATTTTAGCAGGAGTTAACTAACAGGAGAAAAAAAACAGTGAGAAAGTGAGAAAAATAAAAGGAAGTAAAAGCCACATGTCTTGGGCAGGGAAGAAAAAGGATAATGCATAGTCCCTTCCAGTTTCTCAGGAGATTCTGGAAGGAAAAAAACTTTTACCTTTTGATTAGGCAGCTTGGGGGGGGATAGGGGGACATGAGTGACTACATAAATACACATATACAGGTAGAGAAGTGATGGTATTGCATTTTTTGTAATTTTCAAAATCATTTAATTTTTCCCATAAAAGAACTGGTCACCAAATAATTTCCTCAGAACTTTCCAGTTAATTTACAAAAAGCCTTTTCCTCTTCAGAAAGAAAGCCATGACAAAGTTTTTTCTTGATCAGCTCTGTATGACATCATTTATCACTTTGTATACTATTTAAGAGAGCATGTTATCACTTGGAAGGGGTACGAAACAGAATTTGAATCCAGCTGGACTTTGGGTAAGTAATGAGTCAAATAATCAAATCCAAATCTTCAGCTAGAATTTTCAGGTTCTTATGAAATTCAGAACTGAAAGAAGCCTCCAAAAACAGCTGCTCTCATGGGATTTATGCAATTTGGTTATGAAAATCATAGCGGTAAGATAGTCATGTATTAGCAGTATTGAACCTTAACCCCAATGCTTACCATAAAAGAATCAAGATCTGAGACCATTCTTTTCTGTTCAGTGCAAGGATGGCTCCGCCAAGCTATGCAGTGAAATATAGCCCATAGCCACCTGCAACTCAGCAAACTGAGCAAGGAAAATGTTGAGTCAAAGGGCCTTTCTATTTCTTTCTATTCCTGCCAATGATTTAACATGCATACACTATGCCAAGTCAGCTAGACTCAAATTTTCAGATGCAGTCTGCAATTCGGTCCACGTTTTGGAAGTGTTGACTGGTTGCACTGAAAGTAATATGAACTGCAAGTTCTCAGCACCTCTGAAAAGAAGCCCTAAGTTTCTTAAATTTGGTGTCAAAAACAATAGAGTACCTAAAACTAGAACCCAGTGGGAACTTCCCTTCAACAGATCTAAATACCCATGGCTTTCAAAGAGGTCAGGAGGAATAGCACAGCGCTCAGTGCATCAACATGGGATTTGGAAGACCCGTGCTCAATTGATCGACTGGCTGCAGTCAAGTAACCTAACCACAGCTCCCAGCTGATACGATCATAGCGCTTTCCAACATCATGCACATGTGGTGAGAATAAATACATTAAAACCTGGGAGGTTCCTGTTGCAGCATAGGAGATGTTCATTTTGTGGGTGGAATGAAGAAAATGACACAAAACTTAATTATGGCTGGAAAGAAAGCTAAGAACCACACTGAAAATCATGGAGTTATTCTGAGGAAATATGACATGTTTAACAGGGCTTTGTATTCCAGCAAATTACTTAAGAGAGCCTTCCTTAATTTTAAAAATATTAAAATGTAAACACAGGTTTTTTGGTAAGAAAAAAGTGTGTTCACTGCATGCCATAAGAACATTTAGATAAAGAAATATGTTTTCTGCTGAAGTAAGATTGAAATGCGATTGATCAGCAATAACAACCATGTATTTCCCAGGCAGTAAGAACCAAGCAATACAGAAACACCTCCACCATCTTATTCTTGGCTTCATGCCATATTTTAGGCACGTATAAAATAGCTTGTACAGCATATTTCTGCAGATCCCTAATTGGGGGTTGCCATAGTGGCAGCATTTGACCCAGGGGTGTTCAGTACTGAATTATTGTTCAGCAGTAACAAACTGTCTTCAGGATTAGCTCCTCAAGCTGGCCGTGAGACATACCTCCAGGACATCCTACACGTGCTTCAGCTGCAGAAGTGACAGTGAGGGAGTCAGTGGGGCTGTATTAGAAGGGAAGCAGCATATATTCTTATTTTTAAGAGTCAGCACAGGTGCGATATGCCTCTCAGTTAACATTAATGCAGGGCAGGAGTGAAGGCAGGGAGAGCAGGCAGCCATGCCTTGGCACCCAGTCACCACCAAGCTGTCCCGCCAGCACGGCCTGCCCATGGTTACACCCTGCATGTAGCCACCTCCGACACCAAAGCAGCCTTTACCCGTCAGGGCACATGGCGCCACGCATGAGGAGCAACTCTCCCCCTCTTACCTCAGGGTCTTTCTCTATCTCCAGCCCCGCTTCCAACAGGTTGCGTTCGTACTCCTCCCGCTGCAGCCGCTTCTCCTCCTCCAGGGCATCCAGCGGGCTGAGCTCAATCACCTCCACCCCTGGTGGCCCTGGCTGCTCGTGTTGGACACGCCGGCCACTCTCCTGCTGCTGTGTCTCGGCACAGCCCTTCTCAGTCCCTCCATTCGAAACCAGGGCCAAGGAGGCAGATCTGTGCATCAGCTCAGGTGAGCCCACACCTGGCGGGTGCCGAGCAAGGCGTTTTCGGTAGTGGTAGGCTAACACATAGTCGACCTTTCTCTTGCTGTCCCTGAAATGCATGCCACTTGGGGACACCTTGTCCACAGCACCTTCTTGCGTCCCATCCAGGTAATTGTTTATAATCTGGGAGAGAAACACATGAGTTTCACAGACAAGAAAGCCAAAAAGCCCAAGCAGAAGTTCTGACCCAGGGTCTATCTCCCCACAAGCACATAAAGTGGCACGGAGTCAAAACTTGAGGTCAGACGGGGGTCTGACATGGCCTACAAACATGCACACTGCAGACCAGGTAAAGTCATGCTGACCTCCTCCAACCAAAACCAAAGGAGAATGGCTAAAGATAGTGGCCTTATCCCAGAGCGTGCGATATCTGCCGGCCTACCAGACAGGCAGGTACAGAGGCACACACTGACACTGCCTCTCTGTCCTCTTGCATGTACACAATCCATACAGGAGAAGACACCCGCATTATGAAATTAAATGAAATGGAGAAGTGAGGATAAGGATCACGTTACAGATTGGGATGTGAGAAAGGGTGTGCTGTGGAGCAAAGCTGAGCAGGGGAGGGAAGCAAAAAAACTGTGTAAGGGAAGAAAGGGAAGAAACTGATCTGAGTTAGAACAGGAGAAATATCCTCAATGTAGTACAAGGGCAAGAAGGGTAGGGCTGGACAGAAACACTTTGGAAAATACCAGGGATTAGAGAGGACAAGCCCCATGGATGGCTAACAATGCTAGCTGACCTATATTTTAATGTATTATGAAAAGACTATGTGACTGACCAGTAATGCTGAAAAAAGAATGACTAAAAATCATTCAAATTGCCTATGTTGTGCTCAGTCACCCCCTTGGACCCTCCCTGTCTCCTTGTCTCCACTGTCCAAAATCTTCTGGGATGAAGCTGCTCCAGTACTAACCCCCGCCATCACACCCTAGCTTGGATGGCAATTCTGCAGCCCCCGTGTTGAACACTGGTACCAAACGTAAGGTATTCACTTTCCATTCTCATTCAGTAAGACAGCCCATGTTTTCCAATACTGTTACCAACCACCATTTCCATCTCAGTGCTGTATCTTAAAGCCCTTCACAAAGCTCCCTACAGTGTCATTCATTAGAGTGACTCCGGCTCTCCAGTGGCTGGGGAACAACATACCAGCAAACAAACAGGGTTAACCTGATGCAAAGCAATCAGCCCCATAACCTGATTGAAGACATTTATGGTTCCCATAGGTGGCTATACAAGCAAAATCTTGACAGGGACCAGTTACAGATTTCTTTTTCTCCCTACCTCCCCTTCCATTACATGCACTGCTAGTCCTGAATGCAAAGTTAACTAAGCATACTGCATAGCAATTTTCTCGTTTGTTAACACAACACAAATTTTTGAAGATATTATATAAATGTGTGTTTTATTATATGCACCAACATCTCCCAACTTCTTCTTTTTCATTGCTTTGCTTCACTTAGTTTCCCACAAAGTAGCTTGAAGTCACCATATCACTAAATAAAACTTGGGTTTATATGCATACTACATCGTTCATTCTTTCATGAAATTATCACCAAATAATCTGTTCTGCACATTAGACTTAACACACACTTTATGTGTAAAGTGTATATATAGTCCCTTTAGGCATATCTAAACTTACACTCAACACTACATTCTGGCAGAATATAAAATTGCTTGGGAGATAGCATTTTATTGCAATTCCCCATTTCCTTGTTAGATATGTTTTCACATAGTACTCACAGGCAGTCCATGCAAACCTCCTGGATCCATCTCTGCCACAGTGAAGAAAAACCCGTTGCAGATTTCTAGTCTCTCTTCCAGAGAGTTTCACGCTGTACAGCGCAGAAGTAATGATGTCACCACTGCCAGGTCACTGGCACAACGCAATGCATTAGCTGACTCTAGAGAAGATGAGCTCTAAGCATCCTCTCCTCCCTTACTGGCAAGTGTGGGCAGAAATAAGAAACACAAACAAAACATGGGAGAGGGAACAAGGACGTTGGAGAACATGAAAAGTCGCTAAGAGATTTTCCTGTTTATTACCTGTGCGTAGCCAGCTGCCACATCCCAGCCACCTGAGAGAGCACCATAGCAACATTTGATGTTGCTGGAGTTACACAGAATAAAACGATGAGGAGAGAAGATAAAACAATGCCTTTGTCTCCCTCCCTCTCTGTTGACTCTTTTCCTCACTCTTGGCAGCAAAGTGATATTCCCATTATTATGAGGGTAGCAAACCAAAATTCTGACAGATTTCAGTAAGGATATTTTCTGGCCCTAAATTTGCACTGCTTTCCTAACCACGTGACATTCTGGTGTAAGAAGATCTTATTAGGAAGGAACACAAATAAGTCGCAATTTGCAAAACATCACTGAAAGAAATGTCAAGATCTTTCTTTTCTCCCCTCTCACAACCATCATAAAAATCAGAATCAGTGATTTAAATTATCGTCTTCAGTCCCACATTCATTGCTTCTTGACACCTCCAAGACAAGTAGCCAGCACACCAAGCAATAACAAAATAGGAAGTTAGGATCAGCATTTCCTGACAATTTTATTCTAGTCCTACAATACCACTACAAACATATCCCAAGAGATCTCTCATTTGACAACAGCTCTGCTCTGAAGACCGCAGCCACACTACATTTCCACCTTCCAATCCAGCCCACACTAACACCTGGGCACGTGTTGGGCTGGGGTTTGCACAGGGATTGACAATTTAGTCATATCTTTTCCTGCATATATTTCCTACACGAGGGGTAACAGCAATCGTCCTATTCCTGCTCTGAAGGATTTTGGCTGAACTAAAAAATTAAGAAAAGCTCGGTGAGACTGCTAGAGTAGCCATTAGTTCTTGCTGTACACCTAGAGAGCCTACTGTAGTATCGGTTTACTTGCATAGTCACTTTTCCCAGTACAGGGTGGATTTGCTGACACGCAGGAGGAATGCACAATGCTCTGCTCACCCTGCATCAAGCCTCTTCCTCATCTCAAAGGCATTAGAGGTAGGTTAATGAACATAAAATCCTACTTACAGAACTGCTGAAGGACTCCAGACAGCTTGGTGCTTCAAAAGCTCCATTGATCCTGCTGCTGTGAAAGGAAGTCCGGTTTTGAGGAACTGTGAGGTATTTGCTGTTGTATGCTGAAAAAGAGTTCCTTTCTGATTTTGCTGTCTTCTGTCTGTTCAGAGTTGGGTGCGAGGATGCTAGACGAAAGTCAGAGAATAAGAGATAAGTATTGTAATATAAAGCAGTTTTTGTGTAGCTTGTTTCCTAAAGGAACAGGAAATATGGCAGTTAATAGACAGTATTCAACTTCAGATGCTGCACTTCAGTAAATGGAGAGTGGCGTATACAACTGCAGAGGAACAGCAGGTACTTAGATGTGTGAACTTCTGGGAAAGGGAGAACAATGACACAACCCTGCACTTAGCTCAGCACTACCCTGGTTAGTCAATAACACTTACACTCCTGCACTTCAGTCACGAGGTTAGGAGCCGGAAACTCTGTGCTTTGCAGCTACCAAAGCACCTCCCAGGGCACGAGTATACTATGTGTCTTAAGTGATTGTACCCTGGTTCTCTGGGTGCAGCATTCAAGCCAGATGGAAGCCAAATCACCACAAATGAACTGAATCACATTTGCTTACAGCTTACTACTAGGCCTGAAATGGACTGTGTTTCCATTCTAGTCTGATGTGACCAAATCTAGTGAGATCAGGTACAGATCCAAACTTCTGGCTAATGGTCATTCTCCACTAAGAACTCTTAACCTCTGGACACGCAACGGTGTGAAATTCTCATAAAGTACATCTAAGTTTATGCCTAAAAGTTTTGGCTTGAGGAACTAATGAATTGAACCCTTTAGTTTTAGATGTATTCCCCATCTCTTGTATTGACAAATTACATGGTCACAATGCAGCATAATGTAGGGGTGAGGGGGTGGGGAGTTACATGACATCCCCTGTTCACCACCACCACCATTGGTTAGATGTATACCTGCCATAGCACAGTGTACAACAACAACAGAATATGAGAAGAATGCTTGGTCACAAGTAGGAAATGCAGGAAGTCAATCCCATACAGGCAGTAGCACAGTGAAAAAGATGAGGATAAAAAACAATGGGTACAGAAACGCTTTTGACATACAGATGTTTCATACTCTTTCACCCTCTAGTGGTGCTGTAGTTGAAATGGTGTTGATTGATCTTTACCCATAGTGTCTTTGAGGATCTTATTGGAGTGAAAAACTATGGCAGAGTCCTTCAAGCATTAGTGTTTTCTACCAGAGAGAAGACATAGGTGTAGCAGACCCATCTATCCACACAATTAGCCCTGCTACTACTAAAGAGACAAAGCACCGTGCCTTTCCAGTAAGAACATTTGTCTTCCCCAGGAAGAAGAAATAACTGGAATATTCATCAGCTCCTGTATATCCAGGAGACACTACAGCCATAGTATCTCTTCTTGCCTTCTTATTAGGCAATACTGGTAATGCTGCAGTTCTCTTCCCCCACTTTCACCTTCTAAGGAAGCAAGAAGCTTCAACAGCGTAGTATGGTTACTTTCCAGTCTGCTGCACTGTGTTATGAGAAAGCAATTTCATCTTTCTCTGTCACAGAAAGTGCTGGGAAGTTTGAGCAGTTTACTCCACATCTTTCTCATGGTGGTGGAGACAGGGGAAGACGGAAGGCAGAAACAGCTGTGTCTGTTGCTCAGTGTTCATGTGACTGAAGAGTGTTTCTCCTGCATTGCTGAAACAGCCAACTGGTGGCAGAAATACCTTAAATTGCATCTCAAAACACAAAGCATTGAAAGAGGTGGCTCTATGCAGGAAACCTATAGAGTTGTGCAGTGATCATCATCTTCAAATAAATCCATTCTTGTAAGTGGTGATAACAAAAAGTTGTCTTTGGGGGGGCGAGGGAGCGGGGGGGAATGCTAAAACCTCAAAATTATATTTCCCTCTTATTTAACTAAATTATTTCTTCCCCCCTCCCCGAGAGTCGAAGACAGACATTGTGTCCTACTGCTAATCTTCTATGCCCTCTACACAGGCTGAATCTACTTACCTGCAATCATGTGCTAAGAGAGGAGCCAATAAAATGGTAAAGAAGGAAATGCTTGGAAAAGGGGGGCCCTGGCCCCTAAATTATTCTTATGTTTTCTATCAATAATGGATTAGGGTCTGCAGCACTTGAACAGCACTGTAGATTGACTCACCAATCTTCTTTTTCTGATCTCTCAAGGAGACTCGCACTTGGTTTACTTTAATGAAGCACATAATGATGCCACAAGGGAAACTCTAAGGAAAATAATTAATAAGTGAAGGTTTCATTCCCAAAGGCTACACACAGTGTTTCTCCAGTATTTTCAGACTAAGCCTGGGATATCTCACAAGACCTTTGCACAGTCAATTAAAGACCTTTTTTCTTCCCACTCCTTTTAACTGGGCCTAGGACAAAAATCTGCATTTAATTTATAATAAAATGATTTCATTTCCATTATGCTTCCCAACCTCCAGAAACTGTGTCACGAACCTGAGGTTGACACTGGTAAGCAGGTGAGGCAGTCAGGGACTTTCAGTCAGAATAAATGCAACTTCCATATCTGAATTCTGAAGACTCCTGTTCTCCCAAAAGCTTTTCATCTGCCCAAATCAAACTGACTGAATCAAAACATGTTGTGCACATTTGACAGTGCTTTCCTGTGGTACTGCAGTGCCTCAGGGGCTTCTGCTTCAGATGCTGCCTGACCTCATTCTACCCTGTAAGCCTTTACGACATCTGGCCTTACATGTTCTCATTCTGTAAATATTCTCGAGGAATTAGTATTGATAGAAACAAGCTGTGTGTGTGCATGTATGTACATTAGATATAAATTTTTTTATACATGCACACACGCATAGCTTTGGTACATATATATATATATATTTCCCCCAAGAACAGCAATAGAGTGAATCTCGAATTCAGCCTGGAAAGTAAATGTTCAAGACCTACATTCATTCTAGAAAACTAGCGTGGGAGCCATCCCTCCAGTCAAACCTCTTTAAGTTGGAAATGGTTTCCAAGGACAAGGTACCTCCAGGACAGAGTTCAGCTCTAGTTCCAGTGCCAACCCGCAGCCAGTAATCAACTACTTGCTCACACAGTCTCTCTACACTCGTTTGCTTTGTCTTTCTGTAAACTTATGGGTTTTGCCACGTGTGCACAAATTGACTTCACCGTTTGAGTTTCCAATTCCTCATCTAAAGTGCAATGATGAAGAAGCTGCACATACTGCCAAAAGTGGAAGGACTGAGCGGGTGTATTAAAGGACCATACTGTTTGTGAAATATGCATTAAGGGAGTCTACCTAATTAGGAGCTCTGTATTAAATCCTGAGTAACAGCCAATTATCCGATCTGAGTGGTCCAGATGGTCAGATTATCATAGGCACAACCACTTGCATTGTAAATGGTTTGGCCACCCAGGGCACAGACACTGGCCTGCTTTCATTTATTAACTCTCTTTCCAGTTAAGCATCAGAAATGGACTGCATTTCTAAAAGGCACCACGGTCAGAAGTATACCTGTACTGACACAGGCTCCTCTGCAAGGCTGTTAAAAACATCTGCAATTTTGGAGCATTGTTTGGCAAACTTGTTATTCCTTGCACCCTCCAAGTAGGTATGAAAAATACCTACTTAGATTTACTGTTTCTATGTAGATTGACTTAAACATATCTTCTTTAAAGGAAATATATATAAGCAAAAAGATGTACCATGGTTATACATGTGTACTTTAGGTGCCCATTAAATTAATGACTTCTTACTTCTGAATGTGCAGTTGCTGATTCAATAGTCAGTCACACCTGTATAAGTAAGCAAGTATTTTCATTGCACTGCAGTTTTCTTTTTCAAGCTGCCACCTCTTGTCTCTTCACAATCCACTTATTTAATATTTCTATTAAAGAGTTTCAGATGCAGGGGAATGCATGTTAATTAAATAAGCCTTAGTCAAGCGTAAAGGAAACAGGCCACCAGAGGAAATGTCTAGGAATACATTTTTACATAGGAAATCCATTCATTATTCAATATTACTTGAAGGAAAAGGTCCAGTAGGTTTCATTAAAGATAATTTAGATTAGTGCAGTGTTCTCAAACTCCTTATTTGAATAAAAGAAGGATAGATTTTGACCATTAAATTTCAGATATCTGGTATTTCTTCACGAGGGTTTAAGAACAATTTAGATGTTTAGTCCCTTACTACTTAACTACTTCTACCAAAATCAGTCCCATAACTAAACTCAGCATTAGACCATTCTCTCTATAAAAAGTATTTCTTCTCTGATTGTATCCTGGAATCTGGGAAGGAAAGGGGAAGCAGTATTATGTATGGCCAAACTGAGACACTGTTTCCTACTTAGAGCACCTCCTTGATGAGCATCACAGAGGCTTAGGATGTGGCATTTCAAACTGAATGTCAGAACAGGTTCCAGACAGGCAGATACACTCAGGCTGTCAAAGGCTTTACCCAGGACTTCTCATGGGTGGTTTTGCCCTTCCTCTGCAATCTGAGAGGTACTGCATTCAAACTGCAATCTGCAAATTTGGATCTCACCTCTCTTGGTGGAAACTTAGCTGTGGGGGAACAGGTAGGAAGTGGCAAACCTGAAAAATTATGTTTTCTGCTTCTAGCTTCCCTTTTTCCTCCTTTGGTTGAATCCTCAGTTTCACTACCCAGGAGGTCTGCTAGCCCAGGGCATGTGGCTAGGACAATGTGATGAAGATGGAAAGTAGTCAGGGAATTGTGTGGGGCTGTGGTGCCTACCTTAATCCTTAGCAGGACTGTTCCATCTCTGATCTTGTCTTAACCCTTGTTACCTCCTCCAAGCCACACCTATACTTCCATTTCCCAGAAGCTTCCTCTAAGTTCTAACTCTTCATGGTAGGCTGCATATCCTCTAATCAAAAATTTGCTTTAATTTGTACCATGCTGCATTAGAGACAATCCAAAAAGCCTTCTCTGTCTTTAATTCCTGTGATTCTTAAAAGGCACTAATGGTAGTCTTGAAGACACAATGGAGGGAACTACACTCTGCTGCAGCTGTGTTGAGTTTGGTGGAGCTCTGCACAAGAAGTAATTCTGGCACAAGCTGAGCTTCTTCCCATATCACCATGCACTTTGAGACTATAATGATTCAGGAAGCTGTTAATAGGCTACAAACAGAGCGACTTGTCCATAACCCTCTGACCCTTTGTGTGAATGCATATTCACTGATTCTTTAAAGTAAGAGTTACTGACACGAAGGACAATAATAATGTTTTTACAATCATTTTAGGGAAAAGGTGGCCTATGACCATCTGCTCCACAGGGGATGAGCAGTGGCAGAGCAGTGAGTGACCCTGCTCGCAAGGAGCCAAGATGCAGAGCAGCAAGTCCAGGTCAGGGTCAGGGCTGGAGACAGTGATCAGAGCTGGACACAGCTCAGTGATCCCCCAGCAAGGCAGCAGTGACAAAGGAGGTCCAAGGTCAAGCTGGGAAACAGAGCCTCTGTGTCCAAGTCTGGGCCAAACCAGCTAAGGTCCAAAACCAGGTGCAGATGTAGCTCAGCTGCAATGTAGGACAGGCTGGGGTGAGTAGTAAAGCATCAGCTGAAAAGCAGTTCCCAAGGGAAAGGAAGGCAGATCACTTGAACTTTCTTCAAAACAGCTCCGGTTGGTGAAGAAGCTGGCCTTGGACTCCGCCAGCTAAACTCTTTAACATGGCCAAAGAAAGGCCTAGAAGGGGGTCATGCTCTGGGCCCTGACAGTCTGCCCCTGAACTGCTGGCAGAAACAACAGCTTTGCAGCACCTCAAACAGACAGAGGCGGACAACGGGGAGCACAGGTCCTTGCTGGCTTTGACTGACCTGAATAGCTATGGTCTCAGACACAAATGTAAAAACTTGTGGTTGTGCTCCTTTGGTAGATCCTTGTACGCAGGAGCCCTCACCTCCAGCACTAGGAGCAGGAAGAATGTACCTGAGTTAACGGAGATGCTCATTCATCTCTGGCACACACCATGCGCCAGAGAGTCTCTTAAAGGGTGGGACACTATGAACCCAAATGGTCAAGAATGAAGGAAACGCAGTAGAGCTGTGGAGATAGATGTGGGAACCACATGGTACAAAACACAAAGACTTAAGATGCCTTATGAATGTTTGCAGTACCTGAAGACTTAATGGAGCTATATCTACATAATACAACTGCATGCGTAACTTTACAGACTCCCCTCCTGTTGTTTGTTTGGGTTTTTTAGTTCTATTGTACCTGTAAAGACTACAGAAAGTACGTGATATTTCTGACATAAAGTATATATTGGGACTAAGTCCAACAGTGAAAGACCTGAGATAGAAAAAGGACACTGGAATAACTCAACAAAGATCAGCAATAGGCATTAAATCTAGTGGCTCTCTTTGCACACTGTGGTCTGCTATACAAATAATTTTAGGAAGGGGAATGGATGGGAAAGCATTGAAATAGCAGGATTCAGTGAGCTGCATGATAGTTTGGCATTCACAGCAGTGCTACAGCCCCAGAAACAGTAAGATAACATGGAAACCACAGAGCTTTTGACTGTAGCAGTAAAATAATAGTGACACAATGTCAGCACTGAACATTATTTTAAACTTGTATACTGGGAACTCAAACACAAAGGTTTTATGCACTGAGCAGATTTGTTCCTTGCATATGGGAACTGAAAGCTTACTGCTGCACATTGTCTTCTTAAAATGTATATTGCTCACTCCCCCCATTTGTATTACAATAAGGCAAATGCAGATGGAAACTGCAGAAGTCCAGTACAAGACATTTGCCTAGTGGTTGTCTTTTCCACATGGATCACAACACTGACCTACAGCTGCACTCCTTAGGCTTCTGAAGAAATGAACTCTACGTGTTTTATCTCTGAGCTGTCTGTATGTAACCTGGGCCACAGATTTTTCTTTTTTTTTATTTGCTTTTTTGAAAATGTCCTGAAAGAAGACAGATAAGTCTTTTCAAAGTATTCCTTTCTCTGTTTCCCACCCCCTTTTCACTTATTCAACTCCATAGGCAGCAAT